GGTGTGACGAGTGGGACAGATGAAGGCCGACATCGTGCATGCAGGCAGCTAATCTTGTGCTTGCGGCACTCGGCAATGAAATCGACATAGGCACTTCGAAGCCGCTCGTTTTGATCGGAGCCAGGGAACATCCCACCCTGCTCCAGAGAGCTTGCTGTAAGCTCTATAAGACAGGAGGCAGCACTGTCGGGAATGAGCGCCAAGTCCACCACATGCAGCCAGTCGAAAACCACCATCGATGGATGGAACCCCGGCAGCTGGATCCACGGATTCGGTTTGCATCCCTTTTGAATGAAATCAGCAGTACTCATCATCCTTAGTTGTGGTTACACTGTATGTGTCGATCATTAATAAGCCTGCATTGGCACATTCATCAATTATATGAAGGAAAAGCCACGAATCGTTTGCCTGTGTGGCGCGCTGGGGCCGTGGAATGTGTAGAGGTTTCCATCCGAAGCCGAAGTAGAGGCCTCAGTGTAGAGCAGACATATGTCTGCATTTCAACAGCACATCAAGCCCCACGGAACCCGGCCTGACATAGAAAACATACTTTTTTGGACCAGGCATTGATCATGTGGAAAGCCTTGCAGTAAACGATGCATGGCGGGAGCATCCAGTTGGAGTGTGCCTCGCACCGGCCTTTTGAATATACTTCTCATCTCCTTTGTGGAACGTAAGAATTCCTCGCCATCCATCAGCGATTGGTCCCTTTCTGCCACCTAGGACCGCAATGCCGTTCTGAGCAAGTTTCTTATGTTGTGGCTTCTATACTCTCGCTCTCTCTCTCTCTCTCTCACTCATTTTTTTCGCTCTCTCCCTCTCGCTCTCTGTCTCTCTTTTTGTATTTCTCCGTCTGTCCATGTCATGTTTTTAAGCCAGGAATCGCTCGAAAGGCCGTCCCCATGGATCCACATCTAGCCAATGCCCCAGCATCAGCTCCACCATGGACCAAGCAGTCCACATATCTAATGCCGTGTAGCATTCATCATCGAACTGGGAGTTGTCTCCGACATAAACCACAAACTTGCTATCCCACGGCGTAGCATGCACACAGGCAGACCCCCATGTCAAGACCAAAAAAGACCTTCGACGATGACATTCTGCGTCATCTCCATGCAACACTAGAGGCACTGTGGTCTCCAGGTTAAGGTCCTGAGTGCATGTGCAGATGTACAAAAGCAGGAACAAACACGACTTGTTGAGCCTGGGGACCGCCAGGTACGGGTGCGCCTGGTACCATTCCGAGGATTGGTTCTTGGCCCAGAAGTCTGCTAAAGCCTGGCGTTAGCTCGTAGCAGCAGTCTTCTTGCAGTGCGGTGGGACACTATGCAAGCTGAGTAGCGCCGGGTTCCCCAACAACCAACTTGTTGAACAAGGACTTGTCATACGCATACATGCTTGCAAACCTCAGCAATCATCGTACTCACAGCCCGAAAAGCAAACAAAGTAGACAAGGAGCGTTTCACTAGGAAGGAACATGTGCCACTTGCCCATGTAGTGCGGGTCCATATCTTTGAGATTGAACTCAGCTAGTGCAGGAAAGCTCCATAATGAGCATGTACGATGCACCATCATGCGAAAGCCGATTGAGCAAGGGACCATGACCACATCCACCCTGCAGTACCGGGACCCCCTTATACAAGCACACATAAACGAACACCACATTGAATTGCATCCAGGTCATGCTTGGGCACTCCCACGGCGGCGGGAGCATTTTCCTCCAGGCTTGTCGTTCAAGCCATCGCCAGAATGTCCGGGCCACATGTTTGCTGTTTCCATCCAGCAGGTCAACAAGCTCGCAAAGGTTTTGCCTTAGGATTCTTTGTCGTGGGGGGGATCATTACGTATATGGATTAGGAAATATGCGCTAGACATGTACATAATCCAGCAGGGTTCGGCAAGAATCGCCTCGGAACTCTTCGATGAACGACCTGTAGCATCGCCACAATTGTTTGCACACTGACCTTGGTGAGTATCGAGCATGCACGGCCCATTGCCCGAAATCGGCATAATTTATGTATCCCGAAACCTCCTGTGCAACTGAGCAGCATCCTTCCCCAGCTCCAGAAATTCTTCCACGATATCCATAGCAGGTGGCGTAAGTATTCATCTTGCAGCATCGCATGGGGGCGTCCGGTACCAGCACTGGGCACAATGGGCTTAAGAGAGTGTAGTGTCTTGTTGGTATCTAACGACTTGTTATGTAGCGCTGTGCAGGCTTATGGGGATTCCACAATCAATTGCTTTCGTAATATTTAGGAAAATAGGGGTCTACGGGGTTTGGGGTTTATAGTTGTAGTGTGACACAACTTGTTTTGTAGCGCTGTCCAGGCTAATGAGGATCCCACAATCAATTACTTTCGTAATATTTAGGAAAATAGGGGTCTACGGGGTTTGGGGTTTAGTTGTAGTGTGACACAAGCTTCTTCGGAGAGTATTCGAACAAGCTGGGAGATTCACTCATGGAGTTGCCACAGGATGTGCACCAAGCTTCGTGCTGCCGCAAAGCCTGGCCCCTATCTGTTCCCAGCTGGAAGACATGTTTCTGGCATCGCATGGGCAAACCACAGACAATCGAAGCCGGACTGCCCCAGAGTCATAATTAAGATGGCAATGATTTCACTGCCATAGCCCTGCCAAGCCAGCCTACCGTAGATTCAGACCAGCAGTCATGATACCGGCTGCTGCAGGAGCTAAATCCAAGTTTACTGTTTCGGTGTGTCTGAACCATGACAGGCTGCTTCACTTGGACCCATCCGCAAAGCCTGAGACTTTGGCTAAACCAAGAACTGTGAGCTAGCATTATGCACCAGTGGCAGCAGCAGGGATACAGCATTGGACTGAGGATTTGTAATTGGGCCTACAACAAAGTGTTCCCCAGCAAAGCCTTCTAAGGTGCATGTAGCTGCTACAGAAGTAGAGACACATAGGAAAGGATGGCTTAGCCACTCTCCTCATCATCCTCGTCTTCTGCGTGGTCGTCGTCGGAAGCTTCCTGCGGCTCGTTGTTTTCTGCCTGAGCACTTGATTTGTTTTTGTTCTTCTCAGTATTCTTGTGGTTCTGGATCCTTTTGCTTGCGTCCTTGATATCGTGCTCGGCCAAGTCAATCACAGGCTGCAGCTGGTGCTCGATGAAATCGTTCCACCCATTAACATCGGGGCACGTCTTTTGGCCTTCCAACTTCTCTTTGGAGCGGATGAGGGCGCCCTCCACTCTCTTTTCCATCTCCACTAGGGCGTGAACCTCATCTAGAGAGCAGTTCGATTGAGAAAGAGAGCATTTCAAAAGCGTAGACACGCTGTCCCCTTTGTGCTCAGGCCGAGACCAGCTCCGTGCAGTTCCGAATCTTGAGGCCCCGGATTTCGGAAAGTTTCGTTGGGATCGTCTTGCTCTGGCTCTCAAGCCTTGGCTAAAGCACTTCAAATGCCACGAAAGTCAAGGATGGTTCTAGCTGGGCTTTTGCTAGGGCTTTTAAGGTTTAGCGTTGTTCGGGGTTTGTGTGCAGCACTATGTGAAGCCCTTGACAAAGCCTCTGCACAACCCTTACTGAAACCCCTGGATAGTCCCAGACTCTTGGTGTTGGCCACTTTCAAGTCCTTGAATGCTTGCTGCTCGGGAGTGAGTGCTTTCTTCGCTTTCCTGAAGAACTCATAGAGGACATGTGTTTAATTGTGAGATAGGCTTTGAAGCAAGCATAGGCAGTGCAATGCATACGAGGCTCTTTCCCGAGATTCGGCCTGTCTTCACATCCAGGAAGCCAATCGAATCCAAGTTTGCAGCAAAGTCACCCAGCTGCTTTGCGAGCAGCTTCTTCGCGCTTGCTTCATTCACTCGCCCTCCGAGCTTCATCTTGGTAGGCAAGCACGATCTCTCAGGACTGTGAACATCTTCTGCAAATAAAGTTCGAACCCCATAATTTGAGCCTAGCATCTTGCGACTTGCCCTCAGAGCCAGTCTGCTTTTCCTCCACAACTTCCTTGAGCACCTTGTACATTCTCCCCTTCGGGCCGCAGTCAGGTGCCTGCCAGTGGCCGGGCACACAAACTTTCAGGGATCAGGGGTTTCGAAAAGTTTGGAAGTTCGGCTTCATAGGTGCACTAGCACTTTGGTTTTGTAAAGTCTTAAGGGATCTAGTGGTATCAGGTGGCTTAAGAATTTCATGTCAACAAAATTACCATCGCTATCGAAGGCTTCTGGGGCTATTGGAGGTGAAGATGAATTTGGAGTAAGCTATCATTTAGGTTGTGTTAGGCATCCGTGCAGGGAGTTTGTCATTATCAGGAATGCAACAAAGTTTATTTAGGCATATATAGTGCTGTATTAAACATTAGGTTTTCGGATGCTACGAACCACATACCCTCCCAAAGGCCCCTGACTGTGTATCCCCAATCGATCCCAACAGAAGCTCGCCGTGTAGAAGCCTGTGCAATAAAAGCACTTAGGCTGTTTAGGGAGAGACATCATCGGCAGCCCACCTGCGGGTGTGCGGTTCCAGTTTGTCCTGGCCAAGACAAGCGTGTGTAGTTTACATAGCATCATTAAGCAAGGCTCCATGATCGAATGTTGTTGGGCCTGAAACCAAGGCTTTGATGAATTGCTGGGCTTCTGCAGATGTGCCGTAGATCTTTTCCAATTGGAAAATCGTGACCTGCAGCTGCCCGAGGACACTATTGTACTTGCTGAAACCAAGCAGCTCAAGCCATTAAGAAGCGTAAGAGCCCGGCCGTAACATATTTGTCAGTTCTCAACTCTTTGATCCAAGTGTGGTAGCATTCCTCCACTTCAATGCTGGCCACGCTTTGCTGCACTATAAATGTCTTCAGCATCCCAAACCTCCAGGGTATTAAATTAGAACACAGGGCTGATCGATAGCAGTGGTTCCAGCCACACCCTGCCTGTCGGCATCGTTGCACAAGCACATCTTTGCTGTTAGAGCTGGGTTTGCATTTCTCTGGATGGCACGTCGTAGGGCTGCATATTGCCGCTTCCTCTCTGGTCGGGGCATCTCCTGGGAATAGAAGAGCAAGCTAGGCTTAGGATTTTTAGAGTTCAACAAACTCCACAAAGAAAGTCCTTGGATGATGTCATCTTATTGATCCGGTCTTTCTCTTCCTCACTGAGTTCCGTGACTCTCCGCGTCCCCTGGGCCGAGCCATTGGCCTGTGGTGCCGGGAGCTTACATATTGGGTCGAACTTATCTAATCTAAACTATTCTACAGGGTCTGCCTGGGGCTGGTTCGCGAAGAGCTGACTCTGCGGCTGCTGCTTGTCCGTGCTGCTGCCAGGGCTTGCAGTTGAGTCTGCTTCGAAGGAAAAGCTTTGCATTGTGTCATATCGGGGCAGCTTCGATGGAGGTTCAGGGCTGCTTTCAAATTCAGATTCCAACTTTCGACGGAGTCCCGACATTCCTGACCCAGTGTCACTTGTTTCTGCTGTAGACACC